CTTGCTCAGACGAGAACGGCCACCCGCGCCGCTGCATCCCGGACTTCGTCAACGCGGCCTTCGGCAAGGACGTGCGCGTGTCCAGCACCTGCGGCCGGCCCCCGGCGCGCTACTGCGTGGTGAGCGAGCGCGGCGAGGAGCGGCTGCGCTCGTGCCACCTCTGCAACGCGTCCGACCCCAAGAAAGCGCACCCGGCCGCCTTCCTCACCGACCTCAACAACCCGCACAACCTGACCTGCTGGCAGTCGGAGAACTACCTGCAGTTCCCGCACAACGTCACGCTCACGTTGTCGCTGGGCAAGAAGTTCGAGGTGACCTACGTCAGCCTGCAGTTCTGCTCTCCGCGGCCCGAGTCCATGGCCATCTACAAGTCCATGGACTACGGGCGCACGTGGGTGCCCTTCCAGTTCTACTCCACGCAGTGCCGCAAGATGTACAACCGGCCGCACCGCGCGCCCATCACCAAGCAGAACGAGCAGGAGGCCGTGTGCACCGACTCGCACACGGACATGCGCCCGCTCTCGGGCGGCCTCATCGCCTTCAGCACGCTGGACGGGAGGCCCTCGGCGCACGACTTCGACAACTCGCCCGTGCTGCAGGACTGGGTCACGGCCACCGACATCCGCGTGGCCTTCAGCCGCCTCCACACGTTCGGAGACGAGAACGAGGACGACTCGGAGCTGGCGCGCGACTCCTACTTCTACGCCGTGTCCGACCTGCAGGTGGGCGGCCGGTGCAAGTGCAACGGCCACGCTGCCCGCTGCGTGCGCGACCGCGACGACAGCCTGGTGTGCGACTGCCGCCACAACACGGCGGGCCCCGAGTGCGACCGCTGCAAACCCTTCCACTACGACCGGCCCTGGCAGCGCGCCACGGCCCGCGAAGCCAACGAGTGCGTGGGTGAGTGGGGCGCCCGGGCGGGGACGCGGGCCGAGGCTTCCGGGCCTGGTAGCCACCGGCGGCACGGACCGTGGCCGCAGCCGGCCATCGGCAGCCGCGTGGACTTCGTAAGAGGTGCGTTGGGGGGAGGGGGAGGATAATCGGAACCCAGGAGGGCTGAGAGGGGGTCCCCTCCACTCGAGTGGCGCGGGAGGTTGACTCCCGGGTTTGCGTGCCTTGCGCTCGCGCGCGCGCGCTGCGGAGTTACCAAGCAGAAGGAAGGCAGCACAGAAATGTTACCTACAGATCGCTGAGCTCCTGGCCCCAAAGCAGACACCCCACTGCCTTCCCCTAAGTTTGGCGGGACCCCGGGATCCACCTCCGCCCCCAACCCCCTTTCCTGGGCCCGCAGCTGGGCGCACGCGTTGGGACTCCGGCTTCATTCCCGGGAAGTTCCAGTTCCACAACCGCAAATCCCTTGGGGAATGACAGAGGCACGGTTTGCAGTTGGGCCAGTGTGGTACTGGGCAAATAGCACTTACACGCCCTCCACTTGTCTCGTCTGGTTTGAAAAAAATTAGGATTTTACCCTTCTTTTGAACAGCGTGTTTGTGTTAGCAAAAGAATGATGTGCTTTCAATTAATTACTATCTACAGATTACAAAGGCGAGGCCCGGTAATTATTTTAAACTAATTCAATCCTGATCCCAACCCCCAAAATCATAGCACATGTGTGTGTGTGTGTGTGTGTGTGTGTGAGAGAGAGAGAGAGAGAGAGAGAGAGCGAGAGCGCGCTTCAGGGTTGGGTGAAATCAAATAGCGTTGAATTAACTAAGGGCCCGGCTTCTCCTTTTCAATGGCGGTTCCAGCCCCTGAAAGAGAAATCTGACAAAACTGAGCACTAGCGTGAATACTGTTGGGTCAGAAATGAGGCTTTAAAAAATTGTACAGTTTTGCTTCTGAAGATGGAACTTTCATGCGCCAGTATTCTCCCTTCCAAAAAAAGAAAGTGGGAAGGGGACAGCGGTAGGGAAAAAAAAGTATTTTAAAAAAGTGTTCACCCGGAGATGTAAACTTCCTTTTATTTATTTATTTGCTATTATTTATTTATTTGTTTTTACCAAAGAAGGACAGCAGCTAGCTTTTTCTTTTAATGACCCATCCCTTTGTGATTATAGTATTGGGTGTGCATCTTTTGTGAACACGTGGATTCTTTCCCACCCCTTCCCCAAACATGCCATTCTCTCTCTCTCTGTGTCTCTCTCTCTTTCACAGAAGCACATTGCAGAGTTAGCTGGTCCCCACAAACACACATTTTGAGGTCTGGTTCTGATTAATTGTGTCATGTTGTTGTCGAATAGTTGGTGCCTCATGACTTGTGGGTGCAGACTTTTGAGCAGGCGAATGGAAAACATGTCTTCGGAGGGCCGGGTGAGTGCAGAGGCCCAGTCTCCCCGGCCTTGTCTGCAGCCTCTTCGCCTGGCCTCCTGTGGCATGGCCCGGCCTCCATTTTTGCACTCCATGTGTTTGCAGACCGATTGTTCTTTGCCCTCCCTCAAGGGACAGAAACTGGGTTGAATTTGAAGAGACTTTTCAGTATTCCACAGAGGGGTAGTAGTTATGCCCCAACTTAGTCATCTTCAAGAATAAAATCCCTTTGATCTGCTCAATTCCCTCAGAAATGTTGGTTTTTCCCATCTCCCTGCACCCCTCTCACCCCCCCTCTCCTCTCTTCTTTTCTTTCTTTTGTGCGGGAGAAACCCTTTATTGACATTTAAAGAGTGTCCCAGGGCTTTGCTATCAGTTTGGGTTCCTGTGTGCACAGGAAAGATGGCTCTGTATTGTCACTAGCGGGATCTAATTGGACAAAATCAAGTGAATTCAATGAAGCAAATAATTGTGGTCTTGCGGTAACATTATAGGGGCTTGAAGATTTGTCTTAGCTGTTGGTATTACTCAGATTCACCACTTACTCTGTCTCTCCAGGACCCTGTTAGAATGATGGTCAACCCCCTTGAAATCATCCCTGTCACTTAGGGTTTTTATCTTTGTAACTCAAAGCTTTCAACTTTGCACGCAAATTGGATTGACCATTATGGTCAAATTGAGCAATCACCATATTAACTAATGTAATTAGTAATCGGGGGTTTTTGTTGTCGTTGTTGTTGTTTTTGTTTTAAAAAAAGATTAATTAGGCCAAATCACCAAGCAATCTACATGACAAACATTTGGGGGACAATATTTTTCTAGTTTTTAACCCAAGTGATTTCCATTCTCTGTTCTTAACACATCTTTAAAGCTTGCCAATTATTCAGCCATCCTTAAAAGCGAAGGCAATTCAACTGTGCTAGAGTTAGTTACAGTCTCCTTTGGAAGAGCTGCCCTGATACCTTGCAGCTAGTAGCTGGGAGCCTCAGCTTGATTCCCATAAAGTCTTATTGAGGTCTGCGTGATTTTTCTCCTATCCTTCTGCCAAAAGAGAATGGCAGCAAGGACAATTTAGAAGTGATTTACAATTAAACGTTGGGCTTTTTATGAAAAGGCCCCATAGTGGAGCTCTGTGAATGAATTAGTATCTAACAGGTGTTCCCAGACTCAAAAGGGCACCGTGCTGGGGGGGCGAGGGAGGGAAGCATTAATAAATCCTTCAAACACTAACATTTGTACTATCATTGACTCAGAACCACCCCCCCCACAGCATAATCCCATCTTTCAAATTTCACAACCGTTGACCTATCTAGTCAAGCTAAGCAGAGAATTGACAGTGTAGGCAAAAGTAAAGAAGTTTATCTATCTATAGACATTGTTTTCTCATCGAAAAGATCAGTCTGGATAACAATGAAGCCGCCAATACCACTGGATTATTCTGCCTTTAGTTTTATAAAGCAATGATCCGTCATTTATAACAGATTGACATGCATCCTTTCCAAGGTTCACCCCCCCCCCAAAAAAAAAACCAACAACAATAAAAAATAGCTAAAATCTTTAAAACGCCTTGCTGTGATTGGACTCATGGTTCTTCAAGTGAGCGCAGAAAGAATCCTTTGGGATCCTGAGACGTGAACGGTGTACATGGACCCTAGGAGTTGCCTCAGACCCTTCTTACTTTGAGTGGCGTGGCAAGGTCGAGATCTCAATGGACTACTTTTGTAAAGCCCAATTTTATTTTAAATGCAATTTTGGATTTCTTCCGGAAAAGGGCGGGGAGTGGGGTGGAGAGAGACCAACCTCAGAACAATATGAAAGACAAGACTATGTATAAGGTTACAGCCTCGACAGCTCTCAGTGGAATAACTAAATACGCTCTTCCGCCCATATGTATTAGCAGTGCTCGCATGCCTTTATTCACATGTGCATTGACATTCATCGTGTAAAGAATCATCCATGCATGGTGTGTGTGTGTGGGGGTGTATATTCCAGAGAAAATGCATGAACAGTTTTAAACCACCTGGGCTGCTAGCCACCCCCTTTGCCCCCCTTCTTCTTCTACTTCTTCTTCTTTTTTTCCAGAGGAGCATCTGAAGACCATATTGTGTTTCATAAAGTATTGACATCAGTTTTAATCAGTGTCCCCCAGACGTGGGAGCTGTGTTAGTATTTAGTGCCTGACGAGGCATGCTGTTTAATCTTACTGTGGGGATGTCAGCGTGAGCCCCTGCCCGGCTTGTGACAAGGTGCGCTCATGAAAACAAGTTTTGCGGCTCACTCTGTGGCTTTGCATTGCCCAGCTGTAACCCAAAACCCACACAAAAGACGTCCCTGCAAGATGAGCGCGGTGCTGGGCTGGCCTATGGTAACGGGTACCTGCAACATGATGCTCATAATTGTTTAAACATGGCTTGGATGTGTGGGAAGGGGGGTGGTCCCATGCTGTAAATGGCGCTGTGCTTGGGCCCAGAGACCAGTGCTGGCAAGAGAGGCTACTTGTAGACTAGTGCCCTGCTCAAGACCCTTGCAAAGGGCAGAAGGCTCAAATGATGTACTGGCTGGTTCCGAGCCTGGCGCTTACCTGCAGAGCAGTGAATGTTGTTAGTAGTAGAAGTAGTCGTCATGGCAGAACCTGGCAGGATTTTGTTTTGTTGTACATGAAGTTGCACCTAACAACAGGAGTTCTTATTGTTGTCATCATTATTACGATTGACCCTATAGGATTGATTCTTTGACAACCATTCTTGTGAGTCATCGAATCATGGTGATCATAGGCACTATGATTGTCCTATGATCCGTGGGGAAGTCATGGCCCATGGACCAAAGCCACAGAGCCAGTAAGTAGGTGGTGGGGGTGACCCTCGAGCCTTAGACTTTTGTTTTCTTTCATTGTGTGCTCTATGCTGCCTCTCCTTAGAATAAATTGATGTATAGATGGGTGGGTGGGTGGATGGATGGATGGATGGACGGATGGACGAAGAAAGAAGGGTAAATGGGTAGGTGGATGGATGGCAGGCATACTCATAGGAGAAGAGTTGTAGCAACCTATTATTTCTTGCTGGAATTGGAGGTGGTTTCCTGGCTGAGTATACAAGGAGGCTTCCAAACCTTTGTGGAGAAATGAAATGAAATGGAATATGTCCACAACGTTTTTGAAGCCTCCTCTAATATTGTTCATACATGCTTAAAAATATTATTCATACATGCTTAAATAGGAACTTGTGTATAAGAAGTCCTTTATCTTAGCCAAGGCCCTCTAGTGGTGCCATGTGTTAAGCATTGAACTGCTCTCCTCAAGGTCGGCAGTTCAAACCCACCTGAGGAGAAGGGGGAGGCTATCTGTTCTCATTAAGATATGCAGGCTCAGAAACACTCAGGACAGTTTTACTCTGTCTATAGGAGTGCTATGAGTCAGAATCAACTCCATGGGAGTGGGCAGGTTATCTTATCCACTGGGAGCCCTGGTGGCATAGTGGTAACGTAGTTTGGCTGCTCACCAAAAGGTAAGCAGTTTGAGCCCACCAGCCACTCTGTGGGCAGGAAAGCGGTGGCAGTCTGCTTCTATGAAGATTTTCCAGCCTTGGAAACCCAAT